AGCAACACTCAAGACTTCACTTTTTTTAAATTATGTCCTAATTTTGTACTTCCCTTACTTTTGCATGACTTAAAGGGAGTTACCACCTCACGGATGACTGTACCTTAATTTGCACTCTGTTGACTTGACTTTATTTTAATGCATCTTTATTTACCAAAACAAAAAACTTAATTCCATCATAATAAATGTCAATTGTTTTGGGGATAATTTTGAAAATCTCCCTCAAGATTTTTGACAATTACATCTAGTACCCTTGTGTTTTTCAATAATGCACTTATCTCCCTTGGCCCTACAAAATTACCATAATAGCCCTAACATATTAATATTTTTTCATGTAATTAGACAATCCACTCTTAATCTCGTTCATATGAATGTATCACATAATTAGACATTTAATGGAAACAAAATACAATTCACTTGTAGAATAACTAATTATGTACTAAACACAATTTTAACATATTAAAAATTAAATTTAGGTTTGCTTGAAGGATCTAGAGATGAATAGAAGAAGATGTAAATTTGGTTTAAAAAGGATTGGGTTGGTATTGGTAATCCAATATTTGAGGGATAGGATGTTTTATTGATGTTGTTATTGAAATTATTTGAGTTCAACAATACAATTTTCTTTAATTTCGACTGAGGTTTTAGAATTTAGTTATTGATGGTAGTAATGGTCATGTTGATAATGGTACTAATTTGAAATGAGGTAATATGAAAGGTTTAAAATAATAGATATGAGAATTGAAAATAAATTTGAGATTTTGTGCATGTTCCATAATTTTTAAACAATTTTATAAGAAAGTAAAATGAACTTCACAATTTTATGAGAGCATTTTGGGTTATTCATTCAAAAATTTGACCATTAAATAGTTTTTGTTACGAAAACAGTAAATTTAGGAGAGGTATATGTAATTTTTCAAACCTCAAGAGAACTAAGTAAAATTGTTAAAAAATCTCAAGTAAGGTTTTTGAAATTATCCCTTATTTTTGAAATGAAAATATAACTTATTTACTCATCCAGATAGTTGGTACAAAAGTTCTGACTAGGAAAATATAACTGGTTTACACTAAAAAGTTCTCGTAGCATGTTCTTGAATTACGTGCATTGATTGTCCAATTTGATCCACGAACTGCATAAAAACATGCCTGTAATGCACTAAAACAAATTTCTTCCCAAATTATGAGCTATCCAATCAAAACATGAAACGCAGTGTTTAAAGCTTCAAACGTTGCGTCATGGCAGTTTACGAGAAATTGACAATAGAACACGGACATGTCATCGAGATTCGAGAAGATCCAAAACGTAAACAGCCTAAAGTACCCAATCAGATACCAACCCGTACTAGAGCGAACTCAAAGACCAATCCAATAACAAGGTCTGTCTAATATAGAGTAGGAGTAGGTGTAGATTAAAATCTATCGTATTGGGCAAAAAATAATAATAATAATAACACTTTGTCACGGCTGCAAAACGATTTGGAGTCCAAATGCAAAATGCTACCTTTTATTTTGTTAACTTATTTGGAAGCATTTAACTCTTAAGGGTTTATTTAACTGATGTCGGCGTGTATTCGTTAACACATTTAAATCACATTTAATCTATTACGTGAATATACATATTAATAATTATTATCATACTTTATATTTATCAACTTTTCCAATTTAGCATTCTTTTTTTCCAAAATATTTATCTAAATCACACTTATCCAACTATATGAATATACATACTAATAATTGTGGGTTTGTCTGACGGGTGCTCATTTATAAAAGGAAAATAAATAAATATAAGGGAAGGTATATAATATTAAATAGGAAAAGTATCTTAATGAAATGAAGGGTAATAATTATTACTAATATATTAGATGTGTTAACATGTACCTAATAGGCATTCATTAGAAACATTCAATAATTATTACCCATTTTGTATTAATCAACTTATCCAATTTCACTTTCTTTTTTTCAAAATATTTATTTGCTTACCCTGTTACATGAATACACGCATTAGACAGACCTTGTTAAAAAAGATCTTACAATCAGTGAAAAAATACTCATTCTTAAAAAATCTTCACTAGATAAATGGTGTAATCAATCTAGCTCCCTTTTTTGACCTGTTATTAGTGCAGATTTCGTTTTTTGATGAAATTATGATGTGTTTAATCTAGCTCCATCTAATAAACACATAATTAGCTTGCCGAATTTATTATTGTAAACAGTCCTTCCCCACATATCTTCATAGTAGTAGTAGAATAAAAACGCTTTTGTTGATAAAACTGATGACTTGAAACCAGCAAACGAGTCCAAAAAATCCTGACCAACCATAGCCAACAAAATGTTATGAAAACAACTTCAATCCGCAAGAAAACAAACAATGAACTCATGGACCATGTTTAATAATGAGTTAGTGGTTAAATCAGATTACTACAATTAAGCGCATTTAAAGTTTAGCAGTAATAAACATATCCTAGGCCTCGTTTTCAAAGACCAATGATTTGAATCTACTCGGGACTGTTGTTTCTGATTGGACTAAGGTTCTCTTTCATTCATGTGAAATGAAACAAAACCGAAAGCAACAAAATATTAGTCAGCTATGAGAATTTTGTTAGCAAAACAATATGCAACATACAAGATTATTTGCTCATATAGATATATATATATATATATACATATATGCAGAATTTTAAGATTTTTAACTTTGTAAATTAGAACATTAAAAAAGCTTCCAAACTCTATTGTCTGGAAAGTGAATTATTTGCTAAAACTTATTTGTTTACGTCATTAACACATTTCTCAATTACCTTTTTATTTTACAGATATTTACATAAAAAAAAGTGCTACAGTATTTGACCATATTAACATAATGACGTTGAAATCTAATCTCCACCGTAAATATTAAAGCTGATTGGAGTAGGATTTGTAAGTAATTCATTTACTATTTTGATTGCCATTTTCTGCCAGAAAATTACGTCGTTTTCCGTGATCACATTTCTCTATTATCTTTTTCCCTCACATACATCAAATCGCTACAGTAATTTTTCCATGGAAAATGACGGAAAATACAATCCAAACGGGTAACAACTGATAAAAACAAGTTTTTGGATCTAAATCCATCTCAGTATGGCTTGTTTTGACAAAATAGTGTACTAAAAAGCCAGTTAGCAACTGATGAGTCATTCATCAATCCAACTTTGAATATTTGTCCACAACCATTAGGACATGAAGCCAACAAAAAATGAGGAAAGTGACAGCGATGTACTTTCGCCTCCTTGGTTTAGTTCCCATTCGTGTTTGCCCATGGATTCACGATACTTAGGATTGAAGTTTTGTTACAGTTGTACATTTGTTGTTTTTATTATTTGATTTAGTGTCTACTAATGTAGTTTTATTTGATGTGTGTTTGCGTATCTTAATTCAATGTTATGCACGTGAATGTACATTCAATCTTGAAAAAGGGAAAAAAAAACTATACTAATTGTGTTCAATTATGCCAAAAAATAAACCCCATTAATCCCAAATTTGCTTCAGCAAAACCCGTGTTTGGCATCCATATGGCTTCTCAAACCCAAGCCTACTTGTAGCAATGAGTAGTGTTTCTATACGAAAATAATAATAATCAACAAAACCACCAATGAAACTAATGACATGACTAAAATATAAATTGTGGCCTATATTATTGTAACTTTTGCAATTATAGTTTTCATGATATTAGATTGGTTGAACTTTGAAGCATGTATTATTCTTTAACCAAACCAGAAAGGAAACAAAAAATTCAAACTGCCATACATCACATAGTTATGATATATTTTTTTCAATCACTTTTTTGTCTCACATATATTATATAGTTACAGTATATTTTTCTTTAAAAACTCCAAAAACTTGCAGGCTTTAAATTGTTTGTATGGCTATACTAAGTTGGGTTTCTATAGTGAAAAGCAAAATAATATACAACTATATGAGTTTGGCATGATCGTTTAGATTGTTATTTTAAAGAGTTTTTATAAAAAAATATACTATAACGATTTGATGTACATGAGATAAAAAAAGTAATTGAGAAATATATTTACAACAAACGTAAAAATTTTTCTGCGAAAACTAAACAATCCAAACTACTTGTATTAATTGAGAAATATATTCACAACAAACGTAACAATTTTTCGGCGAAAACTAACAATCCAAACAACTTGAATAATTGTCAAAAAAGGAATAAAATAAGCCTTTACTGTTAAATATCCATCCAATCAATTGCTGTCAATTGAAAATATGATATCACTTCAGACAACCCTTCTGAGATGAAGACATAAACCAAGAAAATACTCTACATTCTATCATAAAATAACAGCAGCCCAAAATTAAACACCTCTATTGTTTGTGTTTGTACCCATCCAATTAAAAAAGCGCCCAGGTTAGGTTCCCATCCTCAAAAGGAAAAAGAAATACTCCTAGCAGCGTACTAAAATTCAAACCGGGGTATCTTCCTGGGGATCGGTGGGACCCGCTCTCCTCGAGGGTTGGGGGACTAGTCGGGTGTAGGCCCGGACACCCCCAACTGAAAAAAAAAAAAAAAAGAAAAAAAAAAAGAGGACTTGTTTGTCCCATAAAATTCAAACAATTTCACCAAAATTCAAATGCTTTGCTCTCCCGCTTCAACCAAAATTCAGACCGCCAACAAAATCCCCTCCCCCCCCTTCATTTTCCAGCCTGTGTTTTTTTCTCCTTTTGAATAAACACAAGGCACCAACCCCATTTCAGATCTAACCACTCACGTAATGATGACAAATCCAATTAAAGAAACAAACAAAGAGCCAAGTCCACCCATGTCCTCAAAACCTTCCTCTCTTAAATTTCTACTAGTACAATTATCAATCAATGCAGAAGTTAAAAAAAAAAAAAAAAAAGCAAAAAGTTAAAAGTAAAAAAAAAAAAAATCCCAGAATGTCACTTTTTCACAAAGAATGAAAAACACAAAAGAAAAGAAAAAGAAAAAGTAGGAAAAACAAAGTTAATTTAAAATAAAAGAGGCTAAAGAAGCCTCCCTCAACTGCCGCTCCATTAATTAAATTTACATACATCGGCCCAATTACATCGTCACAAAGTCACAACAACACCCCCTAAAGGGCACCCCTCCTGTCTCGGCCCCCATCCAACCAGAAAACACGGCCTAAATTAAATTAACCCAAACTACAAGGACTAAAAAATTAAAAAAAGGAAAACTCAAAAAAAAATTAAAATTTAACCCGACAATTAGCACTACGACCCCTAAAAACTACTTCGCCTTTCAATCAAGCCCCTACGGTAGCGGTCGCAGCAGGTTTCACTTTCGGCGGCCTTCCTCTACCCCTGGGAGCCCCACTCGGAGCTCCGGTGGACGTCGAAACAGGCCCAGCTCCAGTCTTTGCCGCCTTGGGGGGCCGTCCGCGCTTCCTCCCGGACCCCGTCGAGCTCGGAGCGGTTTTCTTCTTCGGCGGAGCCGGAGGTGCGAGGGGATCCGTGACCTTGGGCGGGCGGCCGCGGGGGCGGGGAGGAGGTGGGACGTAGCCGGGTGGGAGAGCTGGCTTGGGCTTGGGTGGACGGCCTCGGCCACGGCGGGGAGGGGCATTCGGGTCGGGCTTGAGGTAGTTGTTTTTGAGCATGGCGAGCTGGCCGGTGGCCTTCATTCTATTGAGATGGTGGGTCAGCAACGTGGAGTGAGCAGGGGGGAGGTTTCCATAGGTGGATTCGATGTGCTTTGAGATTGTGGATTTGTTGGAGCCGTTCTTGTCGTTCAATGCTTCGATTGCTGATAAGATCATCTGCCAAAGGAAAAATCCAGATTTAACGAAATTATCAGTCAGATTCTTTTGAGAAAAGTATGTTTTTTAAGCTAAGAATTAGGTGAAAAAAGGTCATTTTGGCCCCCAAAAAATGGATAAGAACAAGAAAATGCAGTAAATCTCGGGAGTAAATGCTGGTTTCTTAGCAGAAAATGAGGGGAAAAAGAACAAAAAAGAAAAGGAAAATGGGGGAAAATGTTGAAATGGGTTCCCTTTACTTCCCACCAAAAAAAAAGAAAAAACTGAAAATTTTTGGGAAAAAATCCCAGTTGAATTTCAAATTTTTTTAACTTAACATAAATTTTTTTAAACAAAAAAACCCCATTTAAAACCCCAAAAAAAGGAAAAAAAAAAGTAAATAAAGTTATTTCTCTAGGGAAAAAAAAAAGAAAAAAAGGGTTTGATAAATTCACCTCAGGGTAAGGAGGGAGAGCTGGAGCTGGGGCTGGGGCTGAAGCTGGAGGAGGAGGAACTGGGGCTGAGCAAATATTTTCATTATTACTTTTGGGCTCTTCAGTAGCCATGCTGCTACAGGAGAAATTCCAGAAAATTCAAAGAAAAACGCCACACAAAAATTTTTTTAAAAAATCAAAATTAAATTTTTTTTTCCTTCTAGGAGGGAGGACTGAGGAGAGGAAAATTGGATTTGGTTGAAAGAAATAGGAAAGGATGAGATTTATTTAAAGGGAACTGTGAAACGAGAGAGATAGAGAGAGGAAAGAGTTATGTAGGGAGAGATCGGAAATGGGATCGTTGAGGAGAAAGTAAAGAAGGGGCTTCAGACTTTCAGTAGTGTTTTTCTGAGCTGATCCAACGGCTGGGGATTGGCTATCGCAGTTTTAATCCAACGGTTTTCGTTCCTTTCAATTTTCTTTACCCGGATCGATGACGTGGCTGTCCATTTCTTTATCTATTTCAAAATCTTTTTTTTATTCTGTTGAAATTACCAAAATGCTCCTCGATTTTAATGAATTCAACGTCAGGTTTTTAAAATATTGCGATGAAATCAAGTGCACGAAAAATTGATCAACGTTGCCACGTGTCGAAATTTTATTGGATAGATTGAAGATAATCCAATGGCCTAGTAGGAAACCTTGGAGTAGGGTGAAGAAGGGTGCAGAGGAGTACTATTATCTAAGGGATCTTCGGTCTAACATGCGAGTGCGTGAAACTGGGGTCCGCATTCGAATGATGGAAGCAGAGGGGACCCACGTAAAAGGGGTCGGGTTTGGGTCAATTGGATTGGGATTTTGGTGGGGGAGTTTGTGATATGGTGTACTTGAGGAGCACGTCGCTATAGTAAGGAGTAATTTAGGTGGGCCCAGATTTTCAATTGGTTGGCTGACCTGAGTTTTGACTTTTTGAGAATTTTGCATTGAGATGTGATGATTATCACAGCTGTGGATGTGGGGATAAAGATTCAAGATGCAAAGGACCGTACCATGTGCTTTACTTCTAGGAAGATGCCTTGGATTTAGCAGATTGATGGTCCCTTGATAATGTACTCTCTTTAGTAGCTCTCAGAGTCTACGAGGGCATGTTTGAGTAACTCTAATCCTGATTACAAGAAAACTCTTTAACTGCTAATGGAGCATTGGTTGTGACAACTAACAAGTTGGAAAAATCCTACGCTAAACTACATTTCGATTTAAAAGACAGACACAAATTAGATGATGATTCACCTTCTTAATTAAAGGAATTCCCTTTGCGTCTATCACTTAAAAATACGGTGATTTTCAGTCGCATTTTTTGCTTGAATTCCTACATAATTATATACATTAGGTGTTAGTGAATATTAGCAGACTGGTACGTTTCAAGGGGTAGAGAATTTATGACTCTAATTTTCTTAATTTTCAAGTATATAGATCTAGGTGTTAGAGGGTTTTTGGTTCAAATTTCGGTACCGAGTCTACCGCCTTCCCATTTTTTAAGTTTCACTCCTCTCCAGAGAAAAAAAAAAATTTTAAAAAAAGGGTACACATTTTATAGAGGATTCTTTTATTTTGAATTCTAAAGGCGAAGGTGTATTTTGTCTTTAAAAGTTTAAAGTTTTTACGTAATAGTAGTGTATGCACAACAAAGGGTGAGGTTAATCTCAAACTTTGATAGTGGACTCCACCCTCTTTTCTTGTTTACTTATATAGGAAAAAACCTTTAATAAAATTAAAGAATGTAGTGATAGGTAAAATGTGGAAAAAATAATTAATCACGAAATATTACTAGTACAGAATTAAGCATTGTCAAACAATGTCAATTTATAAAACATTTTAGTTTATAATGAATTATGTCAATTTACTTGGTATATGTTATGAGACGTATCTTGAATACTTGATGCATTGAAAACTTAATATGAGATTTGATTGCCACATAGTATATATATAGTGGTAATGATTTTGGTCACCACTTAACTAAATATCAAATAAATTGATTAAGGAGATATCAATTTATGATCAAGTTACTTAAATTGATTAAGGAGAATACATACATGTTTAGCATTGAACAGTATACAAAAGTTTGTACACAGCTATCCCTTGTTGCCTCTTTTGGAGAACCGCAGAAGTTTCACAAGGCAGAGAGCCAAAGTAGGAACCATGTTGAATGTCTATATTCTGAAGCCAAAATTAAAAAAAAAAAAAAGGATAAATGATTTGCCAAATAATTTCTGGAATAATGATCCAGGTTCAAGGAGGAAAGAATAAAAAGTAAATTGATGTTAAGTACTGTTCATAAAAAACAACTTAATAACCAAGGAAAATCTGCTGAAGAAGAGGGCCAAGGCATGCTTGTTATAAAAGCTCCCAAAATCTTTCTAATCTTCCTGCTACAACACAATGTGCAAAAAACTCGAGCTTAAGTACACTGGCATGCAGCCAAGTTTTTGACGATATCTCTAGCAATATGATTTGACTCTGTTCTATTATCATTTATCTTACACAACTCTATTTCCCTCTAATCATGAGCTTCTATCGACTAATGAATTGAAAAAATAATCACACAGACCTATTATGCACAAAAGAATTAGCAAAATCTTCTCTGAATCAAGTGGAATAGTGCATGGGACGTTTTCCTTTTCGATCTGATCTTGGATTCGTTAATGCTGATGTGGTTGTCGTCGCAGTTACACTGTTTGTTTTGGTTGTGGAGGTAAACGAATGAGAGTTGGAGGCACCAGAAGTTCCTGTAGCGGATGATACGGCAAAAGGCTTGTGAGACTTCCTGTATCTGGAACCAGGGTATCCAGGTCTTGTTGGCTCTTCCAGAGTGCCTGGCTTTCTTGACAGCATCACCACAACACGACGCATGTCTGGCCGTAAACGCGGATCAGATTGAACGCAGAGCAACCCAATCTGTATGCAAACTGATATCTGATCAGGATTCGCTGATGTTACCAATGATGGATCCACAATTTCCAAGTGCTTGCCTTTCTTGTAAAGCTTGTAGGCCTATCCAGAGTAAAAGTTTATTCAACAGTCATCTTCCCAAACTTATTTTGCTCGATAAAGGAATAATGATAACTAAGTGATCGCGAGTCTCTTTACGTTATAGAAGCACCATGTGGTAAACCATCAACAAATAACATTTAACTTGCAAGCAGAAATGTTGCTTTTTGAATTTAGCTGATCATATAGCATAGATGATGAATGAGTTTGAATAGCTGAAACATCTCCCAGAGTTATCCGACTTAACTGGATTCATCTGTCTCCTTCCTCAGAAAAATGTCCCTTTTAGAATAATCCAATTTTAAAAGCACAAGTGAAAAAAGCCATAACAATAAAGGTAAGAGCAGCTTTATTTATTTGTTCTTGGTCTGGTATTAGATATCTGCTACTTTTACCTTTAAAATTTTAAAAGAAGCTCAAGTACGGCAGATGAAAGTTCATTAATAAGATCAAGAATTACATTTATTAACAGTTTCAACTTTGTGAAGACTATGAAAAAGGTTCACGATTGATCCCTTATTTTTACCAACCATTTTCCACTTTTACTATGTGAAACAGATCCAAATCTGCAAATTCCTCCGGATAGTAGATTGAGGACTCAGCGCAATCACTATGTCAAAAAACATAACAATATCAATCATTCTCTCAAGCTACAGTTCTCTCTCTCTCTCTCAAAATATGAATATATATTAGTAAACTGCTTAATGAACCTCACATGCAAAGTTTAAGTAGACATTGGCCACGAAAATTAGAGAGTCATGTGTAATATATATTAAATAGAAGGGAAGAGAGTTATAAAATCTAGATAACAGAAAATAATTGCTTTCCTAATATAATCTTGGGATAGGTGGTGCAAAATTCTTACCCATTCGAGAAGGCTCGTGGACTCGGTATCTCTGTTGAAGGTAGAATTCTTCTGACCACTTATCAGCTCCAGAATTACAACCCCAAAACTATATACATCTGCCTTTATAGATAGATTTCCGTGCATGACATACTCTGGTGCCATGTAACCGCTGTGTCCAAGTTGAACAAGAAGGTTATAAACTTCGCAATCTAGTAGCAAGCTAGAGGAGACTGTGAGGGGAATTTGATCTCCAATTCAAATGGCTGAACTACGACTCACAGTAGATTAAAATATACCGAATGGAGTGATTACATACTTGGTTCCAGCTGCACGGGTGTTAACATGCGTGCCATCTTCGTTGAACAGACGGGCCAAACCAAAATCAGCAATTTTGGGCAAATATTTATCATCCAGTAGGATATTGCTAGCTTTTATGTCACGATGGATGATGCAACTATGTGCATCTTCATGAAGGTATAGAAGACCCTTGGCCACGCCCAGTATGATGTCATGCCTCCTGTTCCAATCCAGTGCATCTCGTCCACTAGACTCTACTTCAAAAGCATTACGGTCAATGTCAATAAACCAACAATAACATATTAAATAGTATTTAAAGCTTCCAAATGTAAATCATAAGAATGGAACATCTGAATGAAATCAGTATCTTTACTATGTGGACCAGCAAAACACAACAATTTGTCATTGTCAATATTGTTTAGGCATCAAGCTTATGAAGATATTGCTGGTCTTTGGAAGCAAGCACATAACTTCTTGTTGTAGAATGGGGCTTGATACATGATTTCAAGTAAAATCTAGGCAATGTGGAGAAAAATACTGCAGCAGTTATCAGTTAATTTGAAATGGACTATTGATGTCGTCAAAGAACATCAATAGTTATGCCAGATAGCCTGCAGATTCAATTATACCCAAGGAGGGTAATGCATCATCAATGAAACAGTTCAATCAAAAAAAACTTAAATCTTCAGACACATTCAAAATGCAATAGCTTTGAAATTACTCTGCCTAAAGCAACAGTCAGCTTATCCTACAACGTTCCTTGTTCCTCACTGTTTTGATTCTAAAATCTTCCCACTCATGTCTTGAATTTCGTAGCATTATACTTGTATTATTATCCAAAACTGGTTGTCTTAAATTGTCCTTCAGTAAATCTGGAAGCCGTCAATCAGTAGCTCAAAGACAACTAAATGAACTCCACTTAGCACAAAATTCTCTTTTCTAAAAAAAATCTGTTTTTTGTTCCAACAAATTTTTGAGGCGAAAAAGAATGTGAGAAGTAGTCCATTATTGAATACACAAAGATACAACTATGGAGTTGAAAAATGGAAAACAACAGTCATTTTGCAATATTTAGCAGGCCAAGTAACTCAAGTAGAGCTTATTAATACCTGGCCAATCCTAATTTGATTAACAGATGGCTAAAATGTTGAGCCAATGCTTGCTGGAGCATTGAAT